TTGTATGAGTCAGGAAAACATGAAGATGGGAGAGAGTTCCAAAGGATTGAAGTGCGGGGAAAAAAACTAGATGAATAAAAGTTTTTAGAGCATGCAGGGACAGATACAGAAAACGAATGAGACTTAGCTGAATGACGAGTAAAACGAGAATGAATTTTAGTTGATGGAACTAGAGATGATAACTCCTTTGAGCAGTGACCATGATAGTATCTGTAGAAAAGAGAAGGAGATGCAACTTTACGACAATGGGAAAGAGGTTCAAGCTTAGCAGATAGTCCAGGTCCAACAACATTTACAATGCGTTTTTGGACCTTGTCAAGAAGAGAGAGTGAATCGTTAGAAGAACCAGCCCAAATATGACAACAGTATTCCATACAGGGACGAATAAGAGATTTGTAGAGATAGAGAATGGAATCAGAAGTAAGGAAATGGCGAGCACGATAAAGAGAAGCAACCTTAGCAAAAGCTAATTTAGCAATCGATTGTATATATGGTTTCCATGAAAGGTCAGTAGTAAGCGATTAATCCAAGAAGACGTAAAGAGGACGACTCAGTAAGAGGATTGCCATTCATTAATATAGGAATGTTGACCATATTACGGTAGTTGTTTGCAGTAAGCAATTGGGTTTTTTTAGAGTTGAAATTCACAAGCCACTGTGAACCCCAATCTATTACTGAAGTGAGATCAGATTCAAGATCAGCTGCTTGTTCTAGGCGATCGAAAAGAGAAGACTTTTTGTCAAGACAGGGAGTATAAAGTTGAGTCATCAGCAAAAAGAGCTACTTTAGATGAAAGGTTGTCAGGAAGATCGTTTATGTAGATAAGAAACAAAACAGGGCCCAGGATGGAACCTTGGGGAACCCCAGAAGTTACTGGAAATAAAGAAGAGTGTTGGCCTTCAAGGATGACTTTAATAAACCGGTTAGAAAGAAATGATTTGATAATCTCAAAAACTTTCCCAGAAACACCATATGAAGCAAGCTTATGGAGAAGACCAGCATGCCAAACTTTGTCGAAAGCTTTAGATATGTCGAGAGCAATAGCCCTAGCCTCACCGCCTCCATCTAATGCACGATAAAATCTTTCAGTTACAGCAGTTAGCAAGTCGGCCGTAGAGCGAGAGGATCAAAAACCGTATTGATTGTCTGACAGCAGTTTATTTGACTCAAGATGAGATGTGAGGAATTTGTTGAATAAAGACTCAAAGACCTTGCTAATAACAGAAAGAAGACTGATCGGACGATAATTGGAGGGGTCAGAATTTAAGTTAAGGCAATTTTAAAATATTATAGCATCTGTTTGATATTTTGTTGACTAAAACATATTTCTGTTAAATGATTAGGTCTGTGAATTATGAAAAGACAAAAAAAATTTAAATGATATATTTTTTAGGATTATAAAATATAAATGTTTATAGCAAAAAAACCCAGACCAAAAATTCCTTTTTTTTTAAAAAAATCTTCTCAAAATCACAATTGGATGTCCAAATTTTAATAAGATTTTAAATAAATACATTTTTTAGGTGAAATGAACATTATAGCTTAACAATATGTTCTGATCTGATTGCTTATTGGCAATTTTTCTTAATTATAAGCTCTTTTTTGGTCGGAATTCTAATATTTTTTGTGAAAATTGATAGAAATATTGTGTTTTGACAACTATTTATGGTTAATATACGTCAGAACCTATTAGAACTAGGATCAATAGTAAATTAAGGAACTTTTTCAAAAGATTTTAACTAAATTAATGTTAACGCCGATGAGCGGAATTGATCTAAAGACTCCAAAATGGTGTTCTTTAGATTCACTGTTACGGGTAGTAAAGAGGTTTTGAAAATTATATATAAAAAAGAAAAGTTTTTGTAAATTTAAAAAAAACCTGATGCAAAAAAAAATTATATTATTTAAAGCTCTTGTTTGGACATAATATGCTGATAAAACCATGCTAATTCCAAATAAAAGAATTTGAACAATCTGTAAATCGCCTTAACTACACGAGAAGCAAATTAATACTGTAGCATATGATTGTAGAAAATTGCTTCAACTCTACCAAATCATACTTAAATAAGATAAGGGCATTATCACAAATTGTTGAAGCCGCATAAGTGCAGAACTATTTGTGTTAAATATAAGAACAACAAAATAAAAATGATAAAACACTTAACTATTGAAAACAATTGATTAATTATCTATTGTAAAGCACTTTAGAACCAAATTTTTGAATTTTCTGCTGTAATGTTCAAAAGAACTCATTTTAGTAAATATTGTGTTAAATATTTATAACAAGCATATTTGTTTCAACTAATTAAAAGTGTGATAAAAATTTAAACAAATTTAAAATCTTTATCAATTTTAACAAGATCTTGGTGTTTCACTGACAAATATATTAAAAAAAATCGAATGTTACATATTAAAATTATTTCTATCAGAACTAAACTTAATTATGAATATTTAACAAGTGTTACTTGTAAATTTTGTTTTCACATTTTATGGATAATTTATTGTTGCTTTTGAAATTTCAGACCATTTAAAAATCAGTGTAATTGGCATGTTATACAACTTTTTCAAAAACAAAATCTGTACATAGCCCCCAATCTGGTCTAGAATCAAAAGTTAGTTCAATTTTCTTTATTAATTTAAAACCACAATTCAAAGCAACATTATGGCTTTTGATGTTTTTCTCATTACAACAAATAATAAATCTTTCAGCCATTAGCTTTGTGACACTAAAATTTAAAAGGCACAACACAGCTTCATGCATATAACCTTTTCCAGTAAAATTTTTGTGCAGCCAGTATCCAATCTCATAAGTTTTCTTGACAGAATCAGCATCATTAATTAGTTTGACGCCACATTGTCCTATTAGCTGTTGAGTTTGATTTAAATAAATGCGGAAACCATAATGAGGATCTTGTGCAACTCTAATAAGAGCCTTTAAATTCTCCTAAAAAAAATGTTGTAAAATGAGTTTCATATACAATTTTAAGCTTTTAGTAAAATAATTATTAATATGAATTTAAAACATTGTAAGAGTATTAAAAAATTTATTATATAGACTTGGAAACTAGAAAAAATTTTACATTACACATTAACACAACAACAAAAGTATTGTAAACAATATTTAAATTTTCATTTTCCCTGCAGTTGTAACAAATTACACAGCAAAAAGTTTATTTTTTTTTTAATTTTTAATTTAGGTGCCCTAAGAAGTCCTTACGGTCTTATCACAAAGCACCGCAGATAAGTATTTAATAGAAAGGTCATGCCTCCTTCCTAACTAATGTTGCTAAACTTGGCCAGTGGTGATGTTTGAACCATCACCTTCCTTTGTTTCTGAAGCCTTTGTCCTTTGTTTCTAAAGCAAGTGCGCTACCACTGCATCATGGCTGCTCTGCCTTATATTTGTGGCATTTTAAAATCATAGACAATTTCTGTAGTAATTTTATAAAAAAAAATTTTTTATTAAAAACACTTAACACTTACTTAACTTGTCACGAAACCAAGAACCATTGCTTTTTTCATTAAAAAAAAAAAACTAAAGTCAGTGTTTCACAGGAAGACATGCGAAGACGCGCTCAATTATATGACCACGCAAAAAATACTTTGTTTTGGCAATTTGACCACAGCTTTTGACATGTTTTCAACATTAAAAAATGATCTAAAAAACTTACTTAAACTTAGCGATCGCCCATAAATTACGCAATCCAAAACTTATTTAATAAATAAGTTTTGCATATATATAAGTAGGAGATCATTTTTTTCTTTTGCACGGAATTTTTTTGCTGGCTTGCAAGATTGTTTATACACTTGGTTTAACTAAAGACTCTGCGAGGAAAAACTTTTAATCTTTTTAATCTGGGAGGAAAAACTTTTGTCTATAAGTTTAATTTCGCTTTACCCAATTTATCCCTTATCTAAAAAAACTTTATTTTAAAAAAGAAAAAAAAAATCTTAACGAAAGAGAAAATAAAAGAAACACTTAACTAAAGCAAAAACACAATATATATATATATATATATATGTATATATATATATATATATATATATATATATATATATATATGTATATATATATATATATATATATATATTATATATATACATATATATATATATATATATATACATATATATATATATATATATATAATATATATATAATAATATATATATATATATATATATAATATATATATATTATATATATATATATATAATATTATATATATGTATATATATATATGTATAATATAATATATATAATATAATATATATATATATATATATATATATATATATATATATATATATATATATATTATATATAATATATATATATATATATATATATAAAACCCAACTAAAACAAAACCAACAGACTAAAATGCTTAGTTTATTTAAATCATATTTTTTAATTACATTCGAAATAATTTTTTATCTTTATTAATGTTTAGAACATTAATAAACATTAACAAACAAAGAACAATTTTCTCTTAATGACTATTTACAAAATACCCACACTTGATTTAAATTATAGTGTTGTTTTTTTTTACTAATTTAAAAATATCAGTTTCCATGTAAATTTCATTTCATTCCACAATGTAAAAACCATTTCAATGTTTGTTTTAACATTTGTCCTTTTTTTTTTAAATTTGTTTTAAAAGATTAACATTTATCATAAAATTATATATACATATTATATATAATATTATAAATAATTTTTTTTTTTTTTTTTTTAATTTTAATTCACCTCCTCAAGGCCGAGAAGGCCACTACAGACGAGGAGGCTACTTATTTGTGGTTATAACCCTCTCTCAACTCTATAACTCCGAAACACGAACCTTGACGAGCAAGGCCACTGCGCGGAGAAACGAGTTGAGCGCGGTACTACCAGGGACGTGGTGGGGATCGAACTCGGAACCACTCATTTATGAAGCGAGCGCTCTACCACTACACCACTACCGCATTGTATACATAATTTTATACAGTTTATTATAATACTTATTATAAAAGTTCATAAGAAGTGTTTTGTTACTTCATTAAAAAGCATTTCGATAATATAAATGTTTTTATTTCATTTTTGGTTTGCTTCTTTTATTCTAGTTATAATTAACTTTTCTTTTCTTTTTTTGCATTTTCGAAAGTATTTTACTACTTGATTCAGTGTTGTTGGCCCTGCCCCTTTATTTTGCATTTCAGGATGTTTTTGATTTTCCTTAGTGTTCCTTTTTACTTCTTCTGCTCTAATCGCATTTTTTACTTCTTTTTTTTACAATAAGATCTGCAAGGCTTTTACTAAAGGCGTGTGTTCAGGAAATGCAAACCTTTATTTTAGGGATAAGGCTTTTTAGTAACTGAAGGTAGTTAATACTTTTTTTTATTATATAACTTTTTTATGTGTTGTTTATGTTATAGTTTTGGTATTATGCTTCAAAATAATTTCAGATTTGTTACCATTTTAAGCACTTTTCAAGATTTTCCAAGACTCCAGAAATGTTTTCTAAAATGATCTCTGAAACGCTTTTTAAAAACCTATGGATAAACTTCGATAATATTTTTAATGTTTGTTAAGTCCTAAAACACTTGATAAAAATAACAAATTTTTATTAACCTGATGCATATTGGAAATTATAACACTACTTGAAATACCAGACCCATTAGAATAATTTTAAGAGATTTCATAAACTTGTTGGAAAACAGAAGGTTGGCTCATAAAGCACAACTAATGGACCAGGAACAGATTTTTTATAGTTTAAGTAACAGTTGGTGGTAGTTGATGAAAAAAGAATTGAATGGTTTTAAGTACAAAATACTTGTTCACATTATTAACAAGAAATTTATAAGCAAAAGAGTTCAAAAATATCACTAGAAATACAGCGCCAAACTTGTTTTTCAAAGTGGCAGTTTGATTGTCAAAGATTTTGTTTTGAAGTTATAGAGGGGTATAATAATAATTTTGATAAAAAAAAAGTAATTTCCTCAACTATAGTGGTTTCCTGGACTTTAGGGAGGTGCATAACTTAAAAAAAAGTTGCAAAATTAGAGAGCTAAAAAATGTGTAAGTATTTTGAAATTTTTATAAATAGTTTAGATTCAAGAAGAAAACCAAATTTTTGATTAACTAATTTATATTCTTTAACTTAGAATTGTTAGTTCTTATTCTATAGCCAAGTATTCTCTTGTCTAAATTCTTAGTTAGAATAAGGAAATGTTGATATTGGGTTGTGAGCATAATTTTTCTTAAATTGCTTACCAGGTCCTAGCTAGTTCAGAAGCTGCTTCACCATTTTTCTATTTTAAATGTTTTGGTATAAAAATTAGAAACCACAATTCTATGAAGAACCCAGCATTAGTATAAATTTTTATATATATATATTTATAATATATATAATATATACATACATGAAGTAACTATTTTACCAAAAGTGAAATAATTCAGAAAATCATCAAAGGCTTTTATTTGAAACAATGTATTTATTTTTATGCATAAATTTTCGATTGAGTTACTGCACAAAGTTTATTTTTTATTTTACATGCCTGATATTGTTAGTTTATTTTAAAATTTTATATTTTAAAGTTAATAATATGGCATCAGTGACTGTTGCAACTTGTATTTGTATCAACTAGGTTTATATTTTTATCAATCAAGTTAATGAGAAAGATATTTATTTTAGCTTCAAATGCACAAATATTTAATAGCAACAAAACAGGCTAGTTAACTATAATATAGTAAATTATATATTAGTTTATTAATTTATAGTAAATACTTACAGTAGTAAATATTAATTTTAAGGTATAATTTATTCTTCATAGAAACTATGCTTTTCTCTCCTAAAATAATAAGAATAAATTGTAATGATCACTTCAATGAGTTGACTTCAATATGTTTTACATTGTTTTAGAGGATGCAGTAAACGACCCAATGCAGACCATGAATCATCAACAGCACTAATGAAAAATTCAAAACAAGCCTTAGACAATTGCAAAGATATCTACATAACATATAATAAAAATTATATTTTCAGCGGAACTTTTAAAGCTACTACTGAATGTAAAATGTTGTTTCTTGATATGAGGGTTTACTCAATATAATTCATAAAATGAAATGTAATTGCTACCAAAAGTTATTTTTAACGATTAGATTACTTAGTGAGTGCTAAAATTTGATGTTGATAAAACTAGTATTGGTGCAGCAATACTTTGAAACCTCAGTGATTGTGAAAAATTTAAACCTGTAGAACTTGAAAAGTCATGTGCTGAAAAAATTTTTCAACTCTTTGTTTTAGAAACATTAGGAAATTTAAAATAAACACAGGACAGAGATTTCTTTACATACCGAAGACTGGTCTGAATAAAGAAAAGGAAGTAGTAGTACAGGGTAAGGAAATGCAAAAAGGATGTGATAAAAAATGTTTGCTTCAGTGTGTAGAAAATCTTAAGGAGCAATATCATAATAAATTATTTGATTCATATTGGTCGATGAAAAGTAAAGATGAAAGATGCCAATATATTGTGGCAAGGGTAAAAGAAGAAGAACCAAAACAAAGAAGGAAAAGGGAGCTTGTGGGAAAAGAAAGGAACAGAAACTAAACATTTACATAGAGCTTTATATGCCAAAAAAATGATGCTCTTGAAACGCTTATTTTTGCATCCATGTTTTTAATACCAGGGCATATCATAGTAGACAGTAAAAACAGCAAAGGCAAAAAAAATTACAGGAAATGCCAAAAAAGATTTAAGAGGTCGCCACAAAAACCAAAGAAAAATATCGATTGAATGGGAAGAAAATGTCATTAATCATATTCAGAGGTTTAGAGTTCAATTAAAGTAATGCATAGACTCTTCATAAAAGTGAGAAAAATCTTATAGAGGGATACAAGTTCTATCAGAAAGTTTTTAAACATAGATTTTGTTTAAAATTCCAAAAGCTTAAGAAAGATCAGT